CCTCCTCCTCCTCCTCATGCTCCACTCCTCCTCCTCCTCCTCAGCTCCTCCTCCTCCTCCTCCTCCTCCTCCTCCTCCTCCTTTTCCCGCCCCTGCTCCTGCCCCTGCTCCAGATCCTTTTTCTCCTTGTTCTCCTGCTCCTGCTCCGGCTCCTCCTCCGGATTTCCATGCTTTTTCATTCTTCAACTCACCGCAGCTCGCAGCCCTTCCGAGCATGTTCTGAACTGAACAAACTCATCTCACCTTCATCGCGATATCTGCATCAATACCTGATCCCACACGGGCTGGAGCTCTGGGAGCACTTCCCTCCAGTCGAAAGATATCGCTTCCTCCCCCAGCTCGACCCCACCAGACGGCACGGCACGTCGAAGGAACGACCAGGACACGAGCACGTGGATCGTGACGAGGATGCAGACGCACAAGTTCAAAACCCTCAAAGTTCTCGGCGCTGCGATCGACCCGATGCCCCGTGACTTGCGTCTCATGGTTTCCACAGGTGAAGACTATCTCAACTTTGCCCCGGAGGAGCGTCTCAGGTAGGTTTTGCTCTGCCACATCCCAGGACTGCTGTACTCGTCTTTGTGTGATGGAATGGACTTCCCTGAGATGATAGATATTCAGCCTCCTCCCCTTCTCCTGCTCTGCCTATCTGCAATTCTTAATCCTATCCCTTCTCTACTTTCTCATACTTTTTTTCACCTCTATTGGTCTATCGATTTGCCTTTGCCATTCGTATATTTTGAATGTACATTTCGTTTTATATCGTGTTCACCTTTGCCTCTCTTTTACTGGCGGCCTGTTTATTGCAACCTACCACCAGCCGCCAGCCCTCCTAACCTCTCCCCTGCTCTCCATCACAAATTCTCTCTTTCGTCTCCGTCTCCGTCTCCGTCCCTCCCTCCTCTCCCTCCTTCCTCCCGCCCTACTCCTCTCCCTTTCCCTCACTCACCCACCCTACTTCCCCAAATCCCTCTGCCTTCCTCCCTCCCTCTCCTTTCTCATCGCGACCTTCTGTGCGAACCTCACCTTGACTCATCTCCGACCTTCTGTGCGAACCTCGCCTTGACTCACCTTCCTTCCGCCATCCCTCTACCCATTCTGTCTGCCTCTCCGTCTTCTGCACCACCTGCCTGCCTGCCTTGCATCTCCCTTTGTCCGCTGGTCAAACTCTGGTCAAATGATGCGACGCTGGTCAAACTCATGATTTTTCTCGTAGTGGTCGTCCCACCGAGCATGTCAGAGCAGAGCCCTGTGGTTCTTCGCGACATCTGCGTGGACGCTGGCATCGTCACGAAGCTTCGTCAGCACGAACTTCGACACATCCGGACTGACAGCGGAGTGGGATGGCTGTGCTTAGGAGGCGCCGGGTGTATGGGGACCATGCCTTTCATCGTCTGCGTGCTCGTCTGTTTCGGCAGTATCGAGCTCGCATAGATCTTGCCGTCCTCCTTGCAGGAGCCTTGCGCTACTGCTCTTTGTCCTTATCCTTGTTCCCCTGCTTGTCGGGTATGAGAAAGAATGTTGAACTCGAGAGACAAGCCTCTGTTTCTGACAAGATTTCAATTCTCTCCTGAGCACCTGTAACTCGATGCTGGATTCCATCGCAGATTTGGAGGTGCAACCCATCGTGATGAAGCTGCCACTGTTCTATCGCGAGCATCAAGGGGTCGAGGGCTGGCTGCTGCAACGTGGACACGCACACACGCACACACGACAAGCAAAAATGGCATCACAGCCTGATCGACGATGCTGGAGGAGGACCGCGCGACGACTGATGTTAGCAGCACGGTACTGTTCATAAATTAGGCTCTTTCTATAAATCATGCAACTCAACGGAGCTCTTTTTCAAGATTGCTTTTTTTGCCGTAGCAATCTTGAAAAATGCTCTTGCAGTTGCAATCTTGAAAGAAGCTCTTTTTCAAGATTGCTCTTTGTCAAGATTGCAACTGGACTTAGCGAAAGATCATGCCGGTGGCGATAGAAGGAGGATAGATCGCAATTGTTCTCAGTATGTTGTTTGTTCCTGACAAATCAAATAATGCATAACATAGGGAAATCATTTCTCCATCGATTGTCTGTCCTTTTATTCTCTAATTATGCGATTTGAGAGTAACAAACAGCATTGAACCTGGCTTGAGGGAAGAAAACCTCCATGATGTAGGCTATTACTGAACCTTGTAGTCATCTGATCATGGTCTGCAATGTTTGATCGAAGCAATTTACAAAGTTATTCAGGAAGTAATGCACTGACTTCCATGATTATGGCCGAAATATCGACAATCGTTCATGGCGAAATATCGACAATCGTTCAACATAATCAAGTACTTTTATTTCAAGTTCAAAGAAAACATCATCCTGACTATTCTCAACGACTTGGTGCAGATGCGCTCGACTTCTTCATGAATGTATTCCATTCAATTGCCCTCTGCGGAAACTGTAGCCGGAGTCTACATTGATCCAAGTGTAGAAAGACGACTCATAAAGTTGACAAAAATCGCCTGCGATTCCCTGAACATGCGCCTGACTCGGTTTCCTCTTCTCAACTCTTCGAATCTCCTTAGTTCTGTATCCCTCTTTTCTGCATCCTTATCACCTAACACGTTGTTCATATGCTGCCCAAAACATTTCACGAGCAACTTCACGTCTGAGCATCGCTTCGTATTGCTTTGTCCAGGCTTCAACTCCCCTGCGGGAACATTTCTCAGGGGAGTTTGTTTTTTGTCCTTTCCACAGAACCACAAATTCCATGCCGATAACGGGGTTTCCAGCTCTTCTGTCAAAAGTACTTGTTCCAGAGCCGCCGCGCTTGCCCCAACTGCTTCATCAATAGAACCATCCGGGTCTCTGCTGTCATTCGCTCCAACAGTGTCTGCCGGTATGACGGTGCTCCCCTCACTCCTGCGACTAGACTCAACAACACTCTGTCCTGGAGCCTCAGGGTCTCTTTGCTGAACATCTCTCTGTGATCCACTTTCTTCCCCTCCCGTCTCCAGAATCACCTCCCGAATGATGGCTTTCAGCTCATCTCGATTCTCTTGCAAGCCTTGCCGAAACAAGTCCTTCGCTGATGGTCCACACTCATTTGGTATGAAACAAACTTGTCGCCTTTCCGAAACTCCTAGATTGCACTCTGGTACTCTGGTACTCACTATTTTTTTTACTTCCCCTAATAATAATAACTGTCTAAATTTTAAAATTCTTTGAGTAATGGTTATTAGATTCGCGTGACCGTAAGAATCGCTGATATTTACTACTGACTTTTATAATTGTCGGATGTCTCCGAGGATACGGACTTATTTAAAAAGGGTTGTCGGGTAACTCCGTTTCCGAAAAAATCCCGATAGAACACTGTGTGTTCCGTCAGCTTCCCTACCATCGACAGAACATGAATGCAACATCCTTCGCCATGGCTGCTTCAGAGTCCCGTCCCTTCGCTGCAGCCCCCTCCTTCCCCTCCAAGCCTCCCCGCCTCCCCTTCACTGCCTGCGACCAGTGCCGCCGATGCAAGACCCGCTGTGACGATCAAGCCCCCTGCTCTCGCTGCATCCGCTCTGGAAGGGGCGCAGCCTGCTCCCGCCTGGCGGAGGATGACATGCTGGAGATCCCGCAGTACCTGGCCGAGTACCGGCTGAGCCGTAGGGCGACCAAGGCTTGTCTGAGCTGCCAGCTCAAGAAGGTCCGCTGCGGTGACTCTCGGCCCTGCGCTCGGTGCTACCGGATGGGGCTGACGTGCGACGACGAGCCGGGGCTGGGGCAGGAGGCGCTGCCTCTGATGCTGCAGCGGAAGCGAGAGCAAGTCGTGCAGGCATGCGAGCGATGCCGGAGGTCGCGGCTCAAGTGCGACTCGGTCAGGCCATGTCGGCGGTGCGTGAGGGC